GAGCTTGTGTAAGTACATACATGTTACTGAATTTAGTAAGTACCCATAAAGATATATATATATATATATGAAGCTAATAGTTGCATTAAGGAAATTATCAGATTGACTATAAGGAATTGTTAGTACTCTTAGACATAATTATGTGAAGGAAGTTAAAAGTGAATTAAGATCAATTATTCTGTAATTTGTCCCAGGATGAAGTTTAGGTATGCAATTAAAAAATGTGTGTTTTGAAACATATTCAACTTGAAAAAGTTCAACTCACAGGTCCTTTTCTATTTTGCTTCACAAATAGGGTGTGTTGTAAACTGCTCACCCCATCAAAACTGAAAGTTTTAAGAGCTTTCTCTTAAGGCAGGCAGGCAATACTATTTGTTGGAAGGCAGAAACTCTGGATGTGATTTAGTGCCCACTGGTAATTCATATACATTTCGAAAATCTGTCATGATATATGACAGCTCTCTCGGGGACTTCGCTTTTAAAACAGAATTGTTTTCTGAAGATGCTGAGGATTTTTTTGTCATTGCTTTCTGTTTTGTTCACTCATTTTTCAGTGTTAGAGACCACACATACTGGGCATACTTCTGGTCTCATTCTCACCCACGAAATTCTGACTTCAGTAGAGTTGCACGGGTGTAAATTAGACTAGGACTTGGCAGGAGAAAGCTTATGATTATATTTGGCAGAGACAGCAGGCTGCAACTTTATTAACATAATTAACAGCTACAAACACACCCAACAGGCCAAAGTAATCTAGTGACAGAAGAGAGAAGGTCTTAGTAGGAAAGGATCCTTCGCACTCTCTTTTGGTGTTCTGCTTCTTGTTCCTGAGTTCCTACTAAGTCTTGGCGAGCTTTCAATTGAGCTGTAATTCAAATTCATATGGCTCCTGCAAGACACCTTGAACAGACTTTTGCTGATGAGTCTATAGGAACTGTCAGCAATACGGGGATTACTTCAGAAGCGTGATGGTTGAATCGAACTTTACTTTCTGATGTTTTGCTTTTTGAATTAAATTGTTGGACAAGATTAATTGCACGCAGTAAGAGATTTAAATGAATGGCTTTATAAAGCATTAAAGTTCTAAGTATGTCACATGGGAAAAAAGCTGTAAGGTTTAAATGAATAAATGTATTTAATGCATAAAATGTCCAGGCTAATTTTTTAATTCCTTTACTAACATATTGAAAAACCATACTTTATTCATCCATCTTAGTTATACTGCTGTGGTTGTGGTAATTTAATATTCCTGCTCTTTGCTAATCTTCTGGTTCAACAGAAGTAAACAATAGGTTTCATAAATTAAAAATACGCTCCTCAGAACATGCTTCTAAAGATAAAAAACAAGGCTGTAAACATTTATGACTGAAACAAACTAGATTGTTCAAATACTGCCATGATGTATCATGTATATCAATATGGCACTGATATCAGTTAGAATGCAAACAAGGTTTTAAATGATGTGCCCCTTCATTTCAGCTGGAGAATCCGCTTTACACCATCTGCCTATCAGATGGTTAGGAACCAGGACTGCGTATTAATGCCACATGTTCGATTTTCATTCCTCTTGTAATGGTTAGATTCATATTGCTAATAGCTGTGCATGAGCACTGTCGATGAAATTTGTGTGACGATGGAGTGATGAGATATTTATAAAGCTGCCTGTCTCACTGCATAATCAGCAGGAAGAATGCCAGACATAAACAACTTATCAATTTCAGAATATTAATGACAACTACCGTTGACTTTAATCCACTGAATATTTTGGCCTGAATATTTTTTAACTGTTCAAATAAATATTTGTAAAGAATAAAAAATACCTACGTGGCTGTTCGGTGTGATCTTTATTTCTTTCATTTCAGTTGACTTTGTACATTTGGTTATATCATTTTTGAAGGTAACATTTCTGTAGTGTAAAGAAGTGTGCACCTTGGAAATTCCTTGGCTACTTATTGTAAGAGTAAATTTATATTAAGCAATGTCTACGTCAAAAGGCTTTTTCAAAGAATAAATTAAAAAGAAAAAAATCACAAGCGTTTCCCTGGGTATATACCCATACTGTGACTTTAAAACTTAGTATTTTAAAATAAAAATATAGATACATAGTAGTGTATTAACTTCTGCTTTTAGTATATTTGCCTGTCTATACCACTGAGATAAGAAAGATAAGTTGGGCCATGTGCTGAAGTTCTGGGTTGTACCACACCCCTGTGCACCACAGTGCACCAGTGATTATAAAGCCAGTGGCCCTGATAACTGGCTTCAGGCCTCCCTTGCCACTTGCTTTGCTATATCATCACAGTCAGGTGATAGGAAAAACTAGTAGTAAAGGAGAAGCTGTGCTGTAGGCTGGAATTGCTGTGAGGGACCAGCATTAAGCTTGAATTCTGAGCATTATTCATTCCCTCCCTACTTACACCTGTGCATACATGAGGCAAGCATTTCAGATCTGCATGGTTTCCATTAGTTGCTGTATAGCAAAGCAATCATTTCAGTCAGTTCTGTGATTGTATAAGAGAAGGAATGAAATGATTAGTTTAATTTCTACTTTTTAAAATTATCACTTTTTGCCACAAGCATTATCTTGCAAAAATCATTTTACAGAGCTAAGCAACTTGTATTTTAGTTTCTCAGTCCCCATCCAAAGAAATGCACCAAAGCATACTTTTTTTTTTGCAAATTTTGTAGCAAAAGAGTGTTTTTATTTCAGGAATTATTCATCCAGGTCATTATTCCAGTGAAACAAAGTAATTGCAGGTGGTCTCACAAGTCCTATGTCCAGCATCTCCTTTGTATGTAATTTACTCCAATACTTAGAAGCACTTTAAAACAGCTGATCTAAAAGTGTAGTCACAACCAAAAATTTGGGGCCTGTTGTTGCAGTCATTGAAAATAGTGTACCAGAATATTCCTCCAAATAATTGTTCTTTAAAAATGCTAGTTTTAGCTTTTCAGGGATGTATACATATATTAGAAAAGGAAGTATAGGTTATTGTGTTGTTTAATGAGCACCGGATGCAAACTAAAGTTCAGAGGTGCACCATCCCTTTTTCTGTGGCCAAATTTAGGGACTGCAATCAAATTTGTGTGATGTATGGCTTCATATCCTTCCTCCAAGGTAAAAATATAATTGGAAGCAATCCATGTTATTGTCAATACCTTTTAAAGATCAGAACACGCACAATTTGTGGTAGTAGCAGAAGCTGAAATAAAAGTAAACTCTCATATTTATTCACCTTCTCATTTATTTTTGGCTTTTGATACATCTTCTACCTGAAACAGCACTTTTCTAAAGAATATTGATCTGTAATTATCACTTGGTCAGTAATTCTCATTACACATGGAGGTGTTAGAAGTCAGCCTGTGAGGAGGGTCGGGAGGCTGGAACCGTTTGCTTAATCTTTATGTGGTCATGCAAAGCAATAAGGGAAAACAAGCTTCAGTCAAGCAACAATATATTCAAAGGCACCTCTTATGCCACCTCATAGATTTCCTGATGTCTGCTCACCACCTTCTTTTCCCCTGCTGGAATTTGCCTTCTGTCCCTCCCTATCACTAGCCAAAAACATGGCAAATGTGAACTTGTTTTGCATGTAAGGATTCAAAGGAGACAACAAGAGAACCTGAGAAGCAATGGTGCTAGTAATATTTACCTCAGAGGCCTGGGATTATTTGCTTATTTGGTCTTTCCTGCTAAATTGCACTCTCCTATGCTAGACAGCAGCCTTAGAATAGTAAATTGTGGAGTTAGTTCCTCTTGAGATCCGTAAGACACTTCACACCTCTCAGAATAGCTGAAAATCAGACAAGCAGGCACCTTTAAACTAATTACATGGAGTTTTTCAAGCCTTCTCCACATTCAGGGCAAGAATCTTGATTCAAAATGACTGAGGGTCTGTTTTCTTGTAGCATCACAGGCTGAGAGAGCATCAATGCATTAAACTTACCTGCTTTATTGCCTTCTCTGTTTCTTAGACTTAATTCTTTGTCATTTCCATCTCTGCCCCCTTCATCAGTTGTGTGGGGGAGGCAGCTCCTGGGAAGTTTTGACACTGGCTTCTCTCTGCTGCCACCCAGGCTGGGGCAGAGAGATCTGGGTGGGCAGCAGCAGGGCTTTGGGGACCACAGGAAAATTACCCTGCCTCAGGGAAGAGGGCAAAAACTGCAAAGATGCTTATGGCTTTGATTAAAGGCTGCATCTAATTTTGAGTTTTGAAGGCAAGTGGAGAATTGGACCGGTTCTCCGATTGCTCCTGGCAAAGAGAAATTTTCCTGGCTTTGTAGAACATTCTTGTAAATGGCTGGATGGCAGAAACTTGGTTTGGTAGGAAGAGCACTTGAGCTGCCTGTAGATGGCTTTGGGATTGGTATTAAATGGGTTAATAATTGCTCTTCTCATTGATATGTACTTTAATGCCTTCAAGTCTGGGGAGAGCAAAATAATATTCTGCATTATTTTTTTTCTAGAAATGCTTCCTAGAACAACTACATCTACTTGCTGCTATGTATGAAATGAGAAATGTCTGAGTTCTATTATCTGTTACTCATAAATAGAAATTATAGACCTGTTTTTTTTGTTTTCTTTAGCATGTCTTAAAGTAGAGATCTAATGGGAATTTTTTTTCCGAGCTATGGTTGTGTACATATTCACCTATTCATAGTCACCACTCAGGACACCATTTTGAAGCTAAATTAGATTTTTGACTGCATGTATTTGTAGATTTGCTGCATCTAGTTGTGATTCTATTATGAATGAACTTACTAGATACCAAATTAAAGTTTAGATGAGTGTATACTAGTAATATATCTAAAGTAAGGAGTAATATGATGTGAAATATTTCACTTGGAAAAGTTGATAGTTTTCTAAACCAACAAGAGGAATAATAATCTGCAGTGCTCTCTGTTCTTATGTAACAAGCATGAAGGAATAATAAAAGTCCCTGCAATAAAGGAGACTCATAGAATAATGAATATTAAATTTTTTTCATACTTCTTTGCAGGTCTGACAGCAGCAGCTGCAGCAGCAGCAGCTGCCACCAATGCCGCCATAGCAGAAGCAATGAAAGTGAAAAAAATCAAATTGGAAGCTATGTCCAACTATCATGCAAATAATAACCAGCATGGAGCAGACTCTGAAAATGGAGATCTGAATTCAAGTGTTGGTAAGTTTCAGACATAGCATTATTATATGTCCATAATACTAAAATATTTTATTAAAATGGTGATCTTTCTGAACTTCCTTCTGAAGTCCTTGGCTTGGTGTAAAAAAGTTGCATATTTGTTTTCCTTTTTCTTAATGTTTTTAGTTTTATTTTGTGCCTGACCTTTACACCAGTGTTCAGTTTTGTTGTTATTATTACAAAAACATTCTTTTCTTTGCAGGCTACTTTTGCAGACTCCAGTTAATATTTTCCATGAAAGAAAGTGTTTTGATTGCTTAGAGTTCATTTTTCAAAGTACAGGTGGAGTGACAGATGATGGTGTCAAAGTGAAATTTAACAATGTCTCCTGCTCAGTGTGCTGGGTATCGACTTTAGGTAATTCAGAACACAAGCTTGAAAGCAAAATATTTCATACTTTCATGTGCCCTGTGACAAAAGGAAAACATACATACACAATAAATTCTGCCATGCTCTGCAGTTCCTATCATATTTTATTTTAATAAACACGTTCTTAAAATGTAGTTAACATTTTTTTCCATTTCTTAAGCAGCCATCAGCAACTCTTGTTCTTTTACAAAAAAGAATTGTTTCAGTATACTTTATTCATTTGTTTGGACAATTTGTTTTGCTAAAGCATACTTCAAAGCTAGGATAACTTTTTGTTGTTGATTAAATCTTTAATCATCTGTGTGTGTCTGCTGTAAAATGTTTTGTTATGCCATTTCATTGTATTGGATCCTTTTATCATGTTGAGACAGTATTAACTCAGCAACAGAAATTCAATGACAGAGAGGTACGTTCAGAAGACTGCAGGGAAGATTGGTGTATACTGGAATAAAATGGCCTCAGATAGGCTTTTTAGTTTTTATTTTGGCCCTTTGTCTGGATTAATTTTTTTATTTTTATTTTTTAGTTTTTCATCTTTTAAATACATTAAATCTTAGAGGGTACGTACTTGCCTTAACATAAATAAATACTTGTTTGTGAGAAGTGTTTCTGTACAGTTCAGTAGGCATCACTAGGGTATTATTTAGAAATAATATGAATTACAGTTCAAAGAACAAGTTCACCTGGGCACATACTACTGTAAATAGCAACAGTATGTGTGCATTACTGCATAAGGAGATTATATGATTGGTTTTGTTTTCCTTTTAAGTAAAAGCTTTAAAAATTCCTCTATGATGGTGAAGAAAATAGTCTTAAATTGTGTGTGAGTACTCAGATACCACATATGCAGTTACTCGAATACAAGCGTAAAGATTGTTCTCTTGGAGAGAAAACAAGAGAGGGTAGAGTGCAGGTGTCTTTGAAATCTGGGAGGAGGAGATAGGTACAAATGAAGTGGAAGGACCAGGTGGCCTCTAGTACACTGGGAGAACAGTGAAGTAATGAGAAAGGTTGAAAAGTATAAACACAAACTGAGAAGGTAAAGAGTGTGTACTAGAACTAGAAGCTAATCTAGACTTTCAGGCTTAGATGAATCCATTGTGTGAAATAAAAAGTTCAAATACAGGTTGGCAGTTCTAATTGTAAACCACATGTGCATCCGTGGGGATGGAAAAGTTAACAGGTAATCAACATCTAAACCACGTGGAGTATTTGTAGAAGAGTAGATAGAACGAACTTCCTCTGAACAAAACGGCAAATTATCTGTTTTGAAATCCTTTTTTTAGTCATAATTTAGATAACTAATATGCTCTTAGACAGCCTAATCATTTTCCCTATTTAAGAAAATACATTCTAGCTATTTTAGTAGGGCAAACTTAGCGAAGCAAGATTATTTATTGTCATTGTCAAAATTTCCTCTCAGCCCCTTAACTTACTTGTTAGCTTCAGTTAATTTCCCAATTTAACTGAATGAAGAATTGAGTTAATTTTGTTCAGAAAAAAATGGCTCTTCTGAATAGAGTGAATAGCTTTCCAGTTGTCTTCATTCCATGAGGAATGGTTCTGAAAATACAGTTTCCTTTTCTGTGAATCTTGTCTTGAGCTGCACCCTTCTTACAGAGGATTTCTCAAAAACAATTTGCTTTTATTTGTTTATTTTTATAGTGAACCCTGTCTAGTGTCCAGTGTTGGTCATGCATATGGAATCAGAGAACTGACTCCTACTGCTACTAATGTCAGGGTATTATTAGGTTCATGAAGAGTTAAGTTCCTTGTTTATTAGTTGCATTTTTGAAAATTAGTGCACTGTATTATCTTGACAAGAACTCATATTTCAAAGGTGTTGCTTTGTAGTTGGTGTGTACTCTTTCTTCTCCTGCATTTTTTCAGAAATGTGTTTATTTATGTATTTTCAAATAAATATTATCAAGTCCATATACCATTAATGTTTTAAATTATAGCTTGCTAGGCAAGATTGTGAAATATTGCATTACTGAATGTTGACAGGAAGAAAGAATAAAACAAAAGAAAACAACCTGATTTTAGTTTACATTTTAAATTAGGTTATGTGCCTGACCAAACTGAAAAGGAACAAACAATCCAACTGGGCTAAAAGCTTAACTGATTCATCTTAGCCCTTATGTAGCAGGCATTATGGTGTGCGTGGATCGATCCTCCTGTGCTCCAATGCCTACATAAAGGCAGATAAATAAAATAGGGACCGTTGTTTTATTTATCTTATCGACTTGTCAGATTTGCTTCCAGATTGTCTTGCTTTTTGGTTTTAATCAAATGCCTAATGTGAACTACAGAAGTAATTCTTGTAGTCTAACATTGTATAATTATAGAGAGCACTACACAAATTTATTAACTTGGTCCTTTGAAGCAGTGGCCAAAAGGTTAGTGAGTGAAGGGAGTTAAAGGAAGCCAATGATACTAATAAGTAATTATTTTATATCTCTCAGTTTTGCTGGTAACCTTGAGCTTGCATCCTCCCACCAGAATTATCATTTTAGAAGCGGGGAAAATAAAGGAAAAAAAAAAAAAATTACAGAGGAATGAAAGTGAGGTATTAGCACACTGAGTAAAATATATGGCTGCAACGCCTTTCTCCCCCATCCACAATCAATTGGATTCTTTTAGTTTAATATTTACTTGCTAAGATGAGATGCTAGTCTGCATGGTGATAAACAGTCTGCTACTGGCATCTGAAGGTGACCTGTCAGTTCATATGGACAAATCTCCTGCTTACTGAAATGTACAAAATAAATCATTAAAGCAGGCAGGTGCTCATTCCCAGATTTAAATCACCATAGATTTATGATTTGAATTAATGCTTCATTTGGTCATAGAAATAGATGCTGAGACAAATGATATGCAGTGGTTGGGGCTTCCATACTGTAGCCATCCTAATATTGATTACTGAGATGTCTTTGCAATCTCTTGTTTATATCAAGTACTGTCTTGTGACAGCTTGGCTGATATGAGCTACATTGCAGATAAGAAGGAAAAATGTCCCGGGTTCTTTTTAGTGGCAATTCTACATACAACACGCAGGGTAGATAAATTATTGGGGTTTTGTTTAAAAAATGAATTCCGTAGGGCAGCAAAGGAAAAAGAAAGATTATGCTGTGTGTCAGGGATTTGTTTTTTTGTTGGATTTGGTTGGTGTATTTCTTGTTTAGTTTTTCTGTTGGGTTTTTTTTTGGTTTTGTTGGGTTTTTTTGTTTTTTTTTTTTTTACTTTGGTTTAGTTTTTCTTAAATTAATTGCAGAATGAAAAGAGAGTGGCAAGGTCAAATTTTAAATTTCACTGGTGAGGTTCTACTCTTTGTCATATTAACATCATAGTGTGGTATTAGGATCAGTTGTATGTTTACCATCTGATGCTCTGAAGCAATGGGTAGGTAAAGCAGTTAAATTATTTCCTCGCTGCTTAAGTACTCACTGCCCTGCTGTCCTACTTCATTAACCTGCAGCAGCAAAAGATAAAAGCCTTTGAAAATAAATACCTTTTAAAAGCTATTTTTGTGAGCTAGAGTTTGCTATCTATAACTTGGTAGGAAGTAAAGAACAGTCCGTATACTTTTGCTTCCCGAACATTTTATATAATGAAAACACTATGCATACACTTTAGGGAATACTCAAAGGATTTGTTAAGACCTTTGCCACTTGCTAAAATATGACTCATAAAACTTGTAAACAACTATCAACAATAGTAAATTACTTGCTTAGCAGGAAATGAGTTCATATCTATTCAAAATGTGATCTCAAAACAGATGTCCCAAGAAAATGTCATTGTTTAAATTACATTCATACAAAAAAAAAATGCTATTATTTCTTTAAGGAAGTGAAGCAACCATGAAGACTTCGGTGTTCTTAATTTCTAAACACAGTTAGGAAATACAAGGCAACATTTTACACTTGGCTAGCATGTTAATCCATAAACAACCGCAAAATTTGTTGAAAATTAAGAGATTTTCTTGGCATGTTAGGTTTCCTCTTCATCTGCATTACCTTGCAATATTTAAAATTATGAGACAAATATGAGTCTTCCTGAGATGTGTTGTTCAAAAGTAAAGCTTGCTTGTATACTATTCTTTTCTTTTTCATCCAGAATCAGAGATAAAATGATTTAGGTGAAATTATTTTTCTCCAGTGACCTTGCCCAATAATAGAACAGTACAAAATGCAGTAATTTCCTTTTTCTAAACACACGTGTCTATTTTAAGGGAAAGAATTACTTTTATGGTTTCAGGAAAAAGTCTTGGAGACCTTGAAAAAGCAAATAAAAGGAAACAGAGAATGCAGGCCACTGAGCACAGCTCTGCAGTTGCACATCTGATTCTCTGCCTTGGCAATGTTAATGAACCTCAAATCCTCCCTATAATTAGATGAGGGAATTGCTTATATTTTCAAACAGATGATGCTGCTGTAATGAAACGATTGACAGGGAACTTAAAAGTGTCTACAGTAGTCATTTAGTTTCCGGGTTTTGGGTTTTGGGGTTTTTTTTCCTTCTATCATTTTTTTTTTATTATTTTTTTTTTTTTTATTGTAAAAAAAGATTGGCTGTAGATACAGGTCCTGGGAGAGGTAGTAATTTACACAGAA